TAATTACAAACCACCTGTATGCAGGGTTAAGTGTTTTTCTATCTTTGACTTTTCTGAGTCACAAAGGGAAGGAGAATGAACACGCGTGTAACGAATGTTCTTAAAACGTGGTTATTTCATCGGGCCTTCAGCAAAGATGCAGAAGAAACGAGGTCAAACACCAACTGGGGAGAAGCTGAGCGACAGATGAGACAAAGCTGTCATCTCCTACGTAGCAGGTTTGTCACAGAAATTCAGAACCGTTTTCTACAAGCAGTGCATCTCAGACCCAGCCACACACTCGAGCTGTAGGTTGGCTCGACCGTGGCACATCCAAACGTGCACCAGGACCCTCATCGCTGCCTGCAGCCTCAATTTTTATTTTAGGACCTCTGTCTCTCCTGTTCCACACCTGTTTTTGGTTTTCATATGCAGCAGACTGCTTAACAGCCTGTTTCCCTCCTTTTTACTGAACACTTTAATAGCTGTATCTCTGACCAAAGCTAAACGGGGAATGCTGACACATGCAGGATGTTACACAACCCTGTAACTTGTTCGTAGAACAAGGCTGCAGCTGGTAGGACCAGGCTGCATGAATGTGTTATATGCCATATTCTGTTTCTTTTTACCGAGCAGACTAGTCTATTTCCGCAGCCACAACTTTAACAAACTGGAGATTCATTTAAACATTTCCTGTGATTCTGTTCGTGTTGCCTCGAAATCAAAAATGTCGCTCTGCTGTTACTGCAGCATACTGCAACTTCTGCATGCGTGTACGTTGCACATTTTGGAGAAGCAAAGCATGAAATGGACACAGTGAACCAGTGTGTCTTTTAGCTGTTTTACAACCACTCTTTCAAGGTTTTTGTTTTTTAATAAAGGAAGGTTTGAGATTGGCCTATAATTAGCTAAGACAGCTGGGTCAAGCAACAGGTTAACTACTGCCAGCTTGAAGGCCTGTGGTACACTGCTGTTTAATAGAGATTGGTGGAGTATGTTTACAGTTGAAGCATTATTTAACCTCACTTTGATGGGACATTTTTACTCTTATTTGTATATTTACATTCTTTTCTAAATAAATCAAGTCACCTTTGACCACGACTGCTTTACTTTACACTAAACTTTGACTAATAATCTATCACACTGTCAGTAGGAGAATATGAGTCATGAGACATTTTAATGCAAATTACGCAAACAAAACTAATGCATAAAAAAAATCTGCCTGGTGCTACTAAGAATTTATTTTCAAGGGGGGAAGATGTTATCAGAACCAGCAAATAGAAATCCACAATGTATCACCAACTGCTGCATCTGTAAGAGACAAAAACACAACAAAAAAAAAACAAACATAGAAAATACACAGATACATAAATCGAAATCATCTTGTCGTGTCAGTGAGAGTGAGAATGTCTTTGTCACAAATGTGATTGATAACGAGGGTGGGAAGCTGCAGCGATGCCCTCCAGAAGCCTGGAACCAGAATATGAGAGAGCTCCTTGCCTCGTGGTAAATGGACTGGTTCTTATATCGCACTTTTCTACTTTATTTGAGCACTCAAAGCACTTTACACCACAGGGCTGAGGGTGATTATAGGAAAGGTGCTGGATCAGCCCAAAACCACATGGGAGGAACTTGTTAAAGATCTGTATGCAGCTGGGACCCCAGTCACCAAAAACACCATCAATAACACACTACACTCGAGTGGACAGAAATCTGGCAGGGCCCACAAGGTCCCCCTGCTCAAGAAGACACATTAGCAATACTGCTGAGGGAGTTTCTATCAAAAGGAAAGTTTGAAGCCTAATCTTGAAAGTAGAGATAGTGTCTGTCTCCTGAATCCAAACTGGAAGCTGGTTCCACAGAAGAGGGGCCTGAAAACTGAAGGCTCTGCCTCCCATTCTACTTTTAAATACTCTAGGAACAACAAGTAGGCCTGCAGAGCGAGAGCGAAGTGCTCTAATAGGGTGATATGGTACTACAAGGTCATTAAGATAAGATGGGGCCTGATTATTTAAGACCTTGTATGTGAGGAGCAGGATTTTGAATTCTGGATTTAACAGGAAGCCAATACAGGAGAAATCTGCTTGCTGCAGCATTTTGGATTAGCTGAAGGCTTTTCAGTGAGTTTTTAGGACTTCCTGATAATAATGAATTACAGTCGTCCAGCCTGGAAGTAATAAATGCATGAACTAGTTTTTCAGCGTCACTCTGAGACAGGATATTTCTAACTTTAGAGATGTTTTCTTTTAGAGCTTATATTTTATTGTCTCACGTCGAGTAGAATAAAGATTGGGGCAATTTGGTCACTTAGATTTTAAACTTAGAAATCTCGATAAATATTGTATTGAATCAGTAAAAGACTACCGGTTCTTTTATTTCGACAATCTCGGACCGGAAATGTGTTGTTATTTATCTTCCGTTTTGGATCGTGGACAATGAAAACGAGTCTTTTGCTGAGTTTTCACAGAATTACTTTAATTTTAATCGTGTGTTTTATATTTTATGTCTTGTGGAATTTAAATGGTAAAACAGGTAATGTTGAGCTTTGCAGCTACGCTCACTTGTTTTAGCGAGCTGCACTTTACTGACAGAGAGGAGCTAATGGCTGCGACCCTCGTGTTCTGTTCGCAGGTGGGATGCGTGACCAAACGCTGGACTATTTCTTCAGTCGGAGTTTTGTAACGAGGATGGACGCTGCCGAGGTTAGCTGGTCGCATGCAGTGAACAGCAGGAGCAGGCTGGCGGAGGCGCTCACAGGTGAGTCCGTGACGTGGCTGTCAGTCCCGCTGACGTCAACGTGAAAATTCAAACACCTGACATTTTATTGTTGTTTATGTTAAAGGTCATTTTGTCTAAATCAGCCCTTGTTTCGTCCTGAAGGTTGAAACTATTTTGCGTGATCGTGTTAAGTTTCTGCTTCCTTCACATTAGCAACCGCATTAACGTAACCATGGCAGCGTCACTCTGATAAAGGCTGAAATCATAGTTTCTCCCCGCTGACTCATGTTAATTATCATACTTTTCAACAGAAATACTAATTTTAGAGTAAAAATATTAGAATGCATTATAATCTCTGTCTGTTCTACAGAAATATGGGAACACATTGCTTCCTCAAACGGAGGCTCTGAGCTGCTGGGAGCTTCCCATGATGCACTCAGTGTTTTTACTCACCATTTGTGGATACATTTAATCAGTAGTTATTATTAATCTCCGGCTCTCTTCCACAGCGTGTCCTTATTGTATTTTGTGTTGAATAAATAAAATGTAATTTTATTGTGAAGGAAGGAGGCTTCATGATATGTAACATGGATTAGAGGGCTGGTGTGTGAGCTGTGATTCATCTCAGGTCTGCCTAATAATCTGGACACTGTAATGTAATGCATTATTTTTTATAAAGCACTTTTCTAGTCTTACTGACCAACCAAAGAACTTTAGATTGCAAGTCACATTTTAACTACATTGTGTGCACTTTGAGGACTTTATCCGTCTCACATCCGTAGCCAGATTTTCCAGTTAACCTAACATTTAATCCACGTTTGGACTGTGGGAAGAGGCCAGAGTCACTGGAGAAACCCACACAGGCACAGGGAGAGCATACAAACTCCCCGCAGAGGCCACAGCTGGAGGTAAAATCAGGAGCCTTTGTGGCCGTGCTGAACACGGAGCGACTGTGTGCTCGTCATACTGCGCTAACCTCCTCTGGGCTGAAAATAAAAAGATATATTCAGTGATGTTTGTCGTTGGGATGATATTTAAGAAAGATACGAGTCAGTTTCTAATGGGCAACAACTGTTTTTCAGGTCCTTCTCTTATGATTGAAGCTGACATTGTCATGAGAGGTCGTGATCCCAAAGAGCCAATCATGGCACATCCCCCTGATACAGACAGTGACATCACTCTGAGGGAATGGCTGGAGAGAGTGAAAGAGTACGGCAAGGGGATAAAGCTGGACTTTAAGAGGTGAGAAGCAGGTTCTGTTCCACCAATGCTGTGTGGGTCTGTGTGACGCTAACGCTGAGCTATACTCTCCACATAGCATGGAGGCTGTGTCAACATCTTTAGTCCTGCTGCAGGAAGTGCTGACTGAGCCATACCGTCCTGTGTGGATCAACGCAGACATCTTCTCGGGTCCTGGGGGGCAGATCGGACCTCTGGAGCATCACACCTTCCTCTCTGTTGTGACTCATCTTCCCTCACACACTGTGCTGTCTCTGGGCTGGACTACAGGATGGACTGCTGGGACAGATAATCCAGGTAAACATACCTCATCACCATTGCCTTTTTGTACACTGAGAACTCAATTTTATTGATAATACAAGAATAATAACATGTAAACAAATGTATTCAGATTATGGCTGGGTATCGTCACTGATTTCTGGAATCAATTCAATTTGATTAGATTTGAATCGAGGAAATTTTGCCTCAGACAGTCAGAAATATTATAATTCTGATCACTTATCAGTACATATCTATATTTTTATATCTATAAAAAGAAAGCTGACACTTGTGAGACTTTATCAAAGGTGTGAGCATCACAGCAGACGCCTTTGTGTCAAAGTAGCTGAGGATAAAACAGAAAAACAAAGTTACAGAGGTTTGATTACAGACACAGCTAAGAGTTTTGCAATTTGTGATCATTTTAAAAAGTTTACATTTCTTCAGTATTGAACAGCAGAAATGCGGCTTTCTTGTCAGAAGTCATTTAAGTAAAAAGAAAAACCACAGCGCTGTAAACAACGGTAGACTGGCAATGAGCAAGCATATGGGAAACTGTTCTTCAAGTACACAGAGAGAGAGAGAGCTGTGCAGGAAGTGTGATTTTATCGTGGTGGAAGCAAAGCAGCAAAAGTCAGACTGAAGTCATGACGATGTTTATCTGTAGTTTGGATCTTCTTTTGCAGTCAATGTTGTTTGGAGAGAGATAAAACCCGCAGCTCCAGAATCTAGCACGTGAACACAAAGCTCGACCCCCGAACATCAGAATCAGCGAGCTGTTCAGCCCCGACCGTGTCCGTGCCGTCGGTGAGAAAGTCGACATCTCACTGATCCTGATCTGTCGGCGGGTCCGAGCTTTGTGTTTACGTCTTTGTGCAGAATCCGTGTTCCTGGTCTCGTTTACTGTTTTAGCTGTTTGGTGGTTGTTGGAAATTTGAGAGCTTTAACCTGAGATTCTGGTGTCTCAGGTAAAATACGTTTATATGTAAAAATCGATTCAGGATTTAATGAATCGATATTGCGTTTTTCAAACTGGAATCGATTGTAATCAGAAAATCGATAATCAGAACCCACCCCTAATTCAGATTAGTGGGAGGAGATGCCACCAGCACATTTAGGACCTTTTAGTATTGTCACCCATATTTGAGGGTTTTAGGATGATGTCACTAAAAAGCCTAACTGCTGTTCAATAGTGAAGAAATGTAAATGTTGGGTCTGGGCTTGCAGGCCCCGCTGGTTCAGAGACTTATCACCTGTGAAGAAAGCAAGACATCAGCTTAAACAGTATTTAACTTAAAAGGGAAGCCTGGTCGGATCTCAGAGCTGCAACTCTGCACTTGACTCAGACGACTCCGCCCCCAGCCTTTGCTTGCCACCTTTTATTGAGATGCATACCGTTTACACAAGCACCACCCATTGTAAAACCCCTGTGGTGTGTCAGGCACTGTGTGTGTGTGTGCATGGAGGAACATGGAGGAACAGAAAAATATCTCAACATGCAGTTTACGAATTTAAGTACAACAATGACAGCTATTATCAAAATCACCCTAACAGTCCTGTTTGTCCTTTTTGTCCTTTAAATTATTCAACCATACATCATTTACACAAATCCTCTGTCCTATCATTCACCTCATATTACTGTAAAAGCAAACAGTTGATAAATGTGTTAGCAGTTATCCTATTTCTCATTGATCTCACACATGGTAAACTGCATCCTACAAGTAAGAAAATGAAAGTTAACAGTCCAAAAAGAGGAATTAACACTTCCAAAATCATTCCAGCCTTGTGGTGCATTTCCTGCCGGTGTAGATTCCTCTGCAGAGTCATTGAGTTCTGCAGCGCTTTCTCCATTCGTATCATTGTCCATACGGCCAGAGTCCAAGTGTATGTACACATGGGCATGCAAACACAGCAGTTGGTGTTGTTGTCTATCCAGGTGGCTTTCTGAGCTATCTTCAAAGCTGTAGGCCTGGTCAGCAGCCCCCTCACTGTGGGTTGGACCAGCACTTGCTTTTTATGGCCTCTATCAACCCCCATCTCCTGACTTCAGGCGTTCTTCCTGTGGGGGGATACAGTCATCAAAATTTCAGCCAGCTTTGTAGAAGTGCTCATGATGCAAATGACAGCAACAATGACACACAGGAAACCTCTTCAGCGTGTCAAAGTCTGCATGGCACAGTTTTACAACCACTCTTTCAAGGTTTTTGTTTTTTAATAAAGGAAGGTTTGAGATTGGCCTATAATTAGCTAAGACAGCTGGGTCAAGCAACAGGTTAACTACTGCCAGCTTGAAGGCGTGTGGTACACTGCTGTTTAATAGAGATTGGTGGAGTATGTTTACAGTTGAAGCATTATTTAACCTCACTTTGATGGGACATTTTTACTCTTATTTGTATATTTACATTCTTTTCTAAATAAATCAAGTCACCTTTGACCACGACTGCTTTACTTTACACTAAACTTTGACTAATAATCTATCACACTGTCAGTAGGAGAATATGAGTCATGAGACATTTTAATGCAAATTACGCAAACAAAACTAATGCATAAAAAAAATCTGCCTGGTGCTACTAAGAATTTATTTTCAAGGGGGGAAGATGTTATCAGAACCAGCAAATAGAAATCCACAATGTATCACCAACTGCTGCATCTGTAAGAGACAAAAACACAACAAAAAAAAAAACAAACATAGAAAATACACAGATACATAAATCGAAATCATCTTGTCGTGTCAGTGAGAGTGAGAATGTCTTTGTCACAAATGTGATTGATAACGAGGGTGGGAAGCTGCAGCGATGCCCTCCAGAAGCCTGGAACCAGAATATGAGAGAGCTCCTTGCCTCGTGGTAAATGGACTGGTTCTTATATCGCACTTTTCTACTTTATTTGAGCACTCAAAGTACTTTACACCACAGGGCTGAGGGTGATTATAGGAAAGGTGCTGGATCAGCCCAAAACCACATGGGAGGAACTTGTTAAAGATCTGTATGCAGCTGGGACCCCAGTCACCAAAAACACCATCAATAACACACTACACTCGAGTGGACAGAAATCTGGCAGGGCCCACAAGGTCCCCCTGCTCAAGAAGACACATTAGCAATACTGCTGAGGGAGTTTCTATCAAAGGAAAGTTTGAAGCCTAATCTTGAAAGTAGAGATAGTGTCTGTCTCCTGAATCCAAACTGGAAGCTGGTTCCACAGAAGAGGG